AGCACTGCCCCTGCTCCTGCCCCGTACCAACCCAGCCACGAGCTATCAAATGCACATCACCATCTACCTGCCACCACGTCCTCCCCTCCTGCAGTGGTGGAGCAGAGGCACCCAAGGGTGCAGCAACCACCATGCCACCCCCCCACGCCCCCCCAGGCAGCCCCACTCGCCCCATGCAGCCGCAGCCCCCGCATCTGCCAGCCATGGGGACAGGCAGGCCCCTACCTGCTGCAGCATGTGCCACCTTGCCCACGCATCACCCAGCTGGGCCCTGGCACAGCCTCTCCTCTGCAGGCACAGCTCCGTGCCCTGCTACCCCCCGACCGGGGGCCACAGCCCCACATGGCCCCAAGCACTGCCTGGCTCCTTCTGCCCCACGGGCACAGCGCTACAGGATCCTGGGCACAGCCTTTTCCATCCTGCGCTGCCCCATGGGCACAGTCCTGTGTGGTCCAGGGCACAGCCTGCCCCGTCCCCTTCTGTCCCACGGGCACAGCCAGACATGCCCCACAGGCACAGCCGCCCTCACCTCCATCTGCCCCCTGAGCAGAGCCTGCCCTGAGCTCCCTCTATCCCATGAGCACAGCCTGCTCCATCCCATGGCAGAGCATCATCTTCCCGGGCACAGCTCTGCCCTGTCCCCATCTGTCCCACAGGCACAGCCTGTGGCATCCCCCCCACCCCAGGGGCACAGCAGGCACTGTGGGGCCAGCCCCAGCCGGGGCATTCAGGGTGCCTGTGGGTGCAGACACAGCCCCTGCTTGGGTGCCCAGCCCTCTTGGGGTGCCCATGGGAGGGGCGCTGCCTCCGCCGTCGGTCCCGTGGCTCCGTCCTTGCACCCCCCGGCCCGGTGTGCCGTGGGGCTGGGGTGGGCTGTGGGGAAGCCACCCGCGGCTCGGCCCCCCGGAGCTGTGTGCCCAGGGGCTCCCAGCTACCTACATGGGAAAAAAGAGGAGAGATTTGGGGTGCGGTGGCAGGTGATATAGGGGAAGGGGGTCCGTGGGGGGGAGGAGGAGGAGGAGGAGGAAGAAGGTGGCCCACTGTCAGCTGTCTTTATGAAAGGACAGTGCAGACGACCTGCTGAGAGAAAGACAGACAGACGGACGGAGAGAGAGAGCAAAGAGATGGGTCAGTCCCTGCTCAGCGCGGTCATGGCAGGGCCAGGGCACCAGGGCACCAGGATGGAAGGACAGTGGGATGGGAAGCAGCACTGACAGCGGGACAGGAGGATGGAAAGACAGCAGGACAGGAGGATAGGAGGCAGCATTAAGTGGCCAGGTGGGGAGAGAGGCCAGACACAGCCATGGGGCCAACTATCTGCTCAGGCACAGCACGGCCCCACAGCATGAACCCACAGCACAACCCACGGCACAGCTCCACGGCTTGGCCACAACACACAGCCCACAGCACGACCCACGGCACAGCCCCACGGCACAGCCCATGGCACAGCCCATGGCATGATCCCACAACAAGAAGACATGGCACAGCCCCCCCACGGCACAGCCCCACGGCACAGCACCCCAGCATGACCCCCAGCGCAGCCCCATGACACGGTCCCACTGCTGGAGGTGCCCACCGTGACAGCCAGCCCCTGCTCTAGAGCCACAAAGAGAGTCCCAGGGCTGGACCCCAGACTTTGGGGCTGCCCAGCTTCCCCATCGGGCAACCCCTGCCCAGCCACCCCACCCCACAGCCAGCCCTCTGCAGGAACAGCCCCACTGCCATAGCCAGAGACCTGCTGGCATCACCCTGACCCAAAAGCAGGGTGTACTGCACCACCACAGGCACCCACCCTGGCAGTGGGGACCCTAGGGTGGGCACACCATGGGGGTGTACACACCCGCCCCACTCACTCCTGCCCCTTTTAGCTGACCCTATGGGAAGAGTTTCCTTCCCAAGCCACAATCCAGATGCCCCAGCTCCCACACCAGCCGCACCCTGACCACGCTGCCACCCTGGCTGCCGGCGTGGTACCGTGACGGGTGGGCAGACAACAGCCAAGCGAGCAGGGAGCAAGGATGCACCCGGCCTTGCAGAAGGCCTCTCCCTGGCATCCAGCCCCAGCCCCTGCTAAGCTGCCCCAGCGGCACAGGGCCACGAGGTATGGTGGTGGTGGCGGCGGTGGCAGCAGTGGTGGTGGTGTGGCAGAGCAGCATGACCCCCTGCCATCGTTGTGCCCCTGGCACACACCATCATGGCACCAGGGACGGCAGAGGGGACACTGCCTTCCCACATCACAGCCCTGGTGCCCCCAGATCCTGCTGCAACCTGCTGAGCTGCAGGGCGCCCCAGCAGTGCTGCACTCACCTGCTCCGCAGCCCACAGCCCCCCCGGCCCCGTGCCCACCGCCCCCCAC